TTTTACATTCATAAATCTCTCATTTTTAAAGTTTTTGCAAAAAATTAAAAGTGGTGAAAAATGTCGAGGCAAGGAGTGCAGCAGAATTTTGCAATAATATGTAAATAAAATCCTGCTGAATTGACCCGATTTCCTACTTGTCGTTTCAGCAGGAATAAAGACGTTTGTTAACTCCGGGGGTTGCTGGCCCCGGTTGTTGAAAAGAGTGTTGGTCAGCATTCCCGGACGGTTTAAGCCTCTCGCGCGGTTTTCTTTCGGCTTCATCTTCCGTACGCCGCATTGTACTTCTGGGGTCGAACTGAAAGTGAAAGTCCTCAATGCTTGACTATTCCTTATTTTTTTATCATTTCTTCCCGAGGTCGGCATGTCAAAGCTTCTCTGACATTGAGGAATTGTTTGATGCCCCTGGTTTTTTTTGGCAGGGCAGGGGGTTCATGCACTTCGACGCAGTTTCACGGTTTCCCCTGCTCCCTGCGTTTGACACCCCGAGACCCGCTTCTTCCAATCCTACCTCAATGACCGCCAGCACACCCAAACCCAATCCAGAAAAAAGAAAAAGAGATTCGTCCAACTACACACCTGAGTCGATAAAATTAAACCTCACACGGGGGAACGAAACAAAACACAAGAGGACGGCAAAATAAAAGAAGATAATGCAACCAAGCGAGAGAGCGAGAGGAAATTGCACAAAAGAGCCCCGTGGCTGGCTGAAAAACGCTGTTCCCACGCGCTTTGCTCCCTGCTCATGGAGCTCGTTAAAATCCCCCGAGTACTTTTGTCCCCTTTCATAAGCAGAGGTGTAATGAACCGGTCCCATTTCCCAGTTGTCAAGTACCTGCGACTTCTTCCCGTCTGCGAGATACCAGGAAACACACACAAATCTGGAGGGAAAGCTTCGGTGACAGACCGGCAACAGCTGATCCCCCCCCCCCAACAAAAAAAGCTTTCCCACGACCCAAAGTTCCTTTTTTTGTTCTTTCAATTTTGTATTTTCAGACACGATTTTCCTGGCTCCTTGTTCATTCACCCACCGAAATGCAAGGGTTCGCTTGACTTGAGTTGGGCGAGTCTGGAAGCTGGGATAACAACATCCCTTGTCTGCAGACGTTGCTGAGAATACTGTAAATCCGACATTTTCGATGTATTTCAGTGAATTAGATCAGATAAGTTGTTAGCGATCATAGAAACGAGGAAACGCACTACTCTCGGATCTTTTTTGATTAGTATACTGTAATGAGATGAAAGAACATGTAAGGTGTACATGTGTGATGTGATGGTGGAAGAGATAAAGAGGGTGCGAGTGACTAATTTGGGCCTTGCGCGGGTGGGAAAGTAGGGGTCGACCGGGTCTCACACTCACTCACCGACCCCCCGACTTCCCAACCCCCGCTCAAAGGTTCTGCTCATTCATCCCAGTGCCGGAGGGGGACGCAGCAAGCAGTAATTGTTTGCTCTATATATTTTTTCTAGTGTCGTTCCGTGTGTGCTTTTTCAGGAAGTGTATTCACCTTCCTGGTTCCGTTTCTTGAGTTGACCCAGATGCATCCGAGCTGGTAATGATTATTGAACAGATGATTTTAGTGGATTCGGTCTCAAAGATACTCTCTAGGTGTTTACGGCTGATGAAAGCGGAAATGAGTGCAGTGTCTATGTATAGGAGTGATATAATTATGCGTTGTGATTCTTGTGAAGTGCGTAAACTTTGTGAAACCTTCTCGTCAGGTGCATCAGAGTTCCCCTCCTCATCATCCTATTTTGCTCTTTCGGAACTATGGGGAGGGGGGTGTGCATATTTACTTGTTGTTTGTTGTTCTTTGTATCGTGTGAGCTGCTCAGTCACCTGTCTGCCGCATACCATTCCCCCTCGTGTTTCAGAAAAGCTCTTCCTGCTTCCAGGTTACGTGAGATGAGTGACATTCTTTCCTGGCCATCAATCCCTCAGGGAACTGTCGTCCTGAAGTTGAAACGATGTAAGTGCGGGTTCGAACTTTTTCCGCGCCCTTCAGTCTTTTTGACGTGAATAAATTAAGATTCTGAAGGAACGCCTGTACTGTATAAGGAGGATCCCGCCACATAATTGCTTACTGCCTGTGTTTTAATTTCCTGGACCCTTTGTTGTTTCCCAGCCTGACAAGATGCGTGGGGATGACGCACTTCTTACTGAGTAAAATGTGATAGTTTCAAGGCTTCTGCTCTAAATCCTGCGCAATTGAGTTGAATCGTTTTTAAAATGAAGACACACCTGTTCGTCTAATTTCTAGGTCAAATACTAGGAAATATTTTAAATAATTGAAAATCTTCTTAGTTATAAGATTGCTGATCGGATAACGTGTTGCGAGAGTTTCTCCATCTGAATCGAACACCATCTCTACAGAATTTTTTTTGCCAAACAAAGCGGCAATATCAGAAATAATTCTTCAAAGGGCTGTTTTGTTCTAATTTCATATACTGTATCGCTATCGTAACTCCGTTTTTATTCCACCTTGAATTTTTCTCTTCTAGTTTTATTCTGTGCTGCGAATAGGTTTCCTTTTCAGAGGGAAAGTTTATTACTGTACTGTATTCCTCATTTATGAGTGTTTTCCGGATGGATTTTCATTTTGAAATCAGTTTTCCATCTCGTTTGGAAGAAAAGGCAAAATTGAAACCATGCGGGAAATTTTCAAGCGTTCGACTTCTATATAACAAGATTATTTAATGATGCAATCGAATTATAAAGTTTGCATTTCATGCGTATGCTTTAAATACTATTTCTCATTCACGAAAAAGAAATCCGCACGCTTTTTAATTTAATGATGGATGATCTCAGCGACTTTTCTGCAATATAATAATAATACAACAGAAGCAAGAAAAGGGGGAATCCGGAATGCGGTTCTGAACCCCAACCGGGATAAATCTAACCTTATGCCTCGCACGCGCCCGGTCATCGTGGGAACCAGGGTTCCCCCAAGTTCTCTCGGTTCGTCATGAATTAAAACCCCTCTCCCCACTGTGTATGTGACCTGATCCCGGGTTGCCGTAAAAATTCGCCGCACGCGCGTGGGAACAATTCAATCCTCCCCTCCCTATGTGTTATTCGAGTTTAAGCTCTGCCCTCGGCGTGTCCTGATTGGGCGTGGAACTTGTTTTTCCGCAAGTCAGGTCAACCGAGAGTTGTATTGGGGGAGGGGACGAAGAAGAGAGCTGATCGCTGGCGGCAGAAATACACAGCGGAGTGCATTTGAACCTCCGAGGGATCTTTGCGACCTCACTTTTCCCACGCTTGCTCTTCGTCCAGCTGGTCGCAGTTTCAGAAGAGCATCATTTGAGCGAAAAAAAGTGTTTTCATGGTCTGACGAGTCGAGTCCGTGAGTAGCGAATTTGGATTTTTGGATACGGTGTGTGTTTGTGAGGAACCTTACAGTTTCTGTGTTTGAACATGTGATTGAACACTTATTGAACATTTATTTCGATTTAGTGACGTGTGATTCATTTTATTTTGTTTCAGAAATTTTTGAAGTTTTGAACAAAGAAATTCAAATGGGAATGAGTCACAGAGTAGATATGATAATTATCCGGGGGATTCCGCAAACATCACTGCAAAGACGCTCAGTGTGGAACATGGTTTGAGTGGCTGTTCTGATATCGGTGTGGATGCGAACGTGTCACGAAATGTGATTATGTAATTTTGATCCTTGACACAAGCATTATTTTATATTTTAAAATTAAAAAAAGCTCCGCACTTAACCATGGAAATCGCAAGGACCATGCCGGGCTTAAAATCGACCACGAATACATGCATCAGAGTGATTTTTGATTCCTCATTCTAGATTTTATTCACCATCCCTTGAACTACAGTATTCGGAATTTCTGAAAACAAAACATAAATGTAATCAACGTATGGCTTTTTTACGCATGTTGAATAAGGAACCAATGCGAAAAATGGAATTTTAACCAAAACATAAATTATTTTTGAATAAAATTAGAGATAAAAGTTTATTGAAAGTCTTTTCCGGAGCCATGGAAGGGATCACTCGAATCAGAAAATTATCTCAACCTTGTCCACAAACCGGACTTTCTTCGGCTTGGTCTTCTTGTATTCCCACCATTGCCTCTCTGCGCGTGTTCTGATAGAAGCAATACAAAAATCAATCTCAGTTCGAAATACTGTTTAACCAAGAATTACATATTTAAAATCCCCTTCAGAGGAGTCCCAGCCATTTCTGAACAGAGTGAGCGACCGACGGATTTTTGTTGATGATCTCTCCCTTGAATTCCTGAAACATGTTTCCTTTGCGGCATGTCAACCAGCATCAGTGAACACCATCATGTGCTCAACTTGTAAATAATTAACAAGAGACTGAATTCATAAAACTGAATAAACCTTCGTTAGCTCTGGTATCAAAAGCAAAGGAACTTCTATCAATTTTTCACACGGGACAATAATTGCAGCAACAACGAAACAGCTTGGGCACGTTTGACACTGCCATCCTTCAACGTTTCATCCTTTGAATAACCATGCGCAGAAGCATCTTGCAAGGCTTCATTAAGCTGAGGGATGTCGTCGTCAGGACCGATATCTGAACTTGAAGTAGCGAAAATCTTCGAAAGGTCGTAAACGCCCAGTGCCTCGTTCAACACATCTTCAATGGCTCTAAACAGAAGAAGAAACTGTTGATTCATAAAGGAGCCTTAAAATGTAAGTTTGAATCATTTATTTAAGTGAGAATGATCCAGTAATATAATTATCGAATCTGAAAAGTCCATGAAGAACACAGCTGTAGGAACTATTTTCGTACGAAACTTAATCGTTAAAGATGGGGTGACATCTATACGCCACTAACATTAATGAACCAAAAAAACATGCACACATCGGCTGCCGAAGAAAAAGAAAATGCAAACTTACGAAGGGGCTTGGACAAGATTAACCCCAGGATGCAACTTGGTGAAAAGTACAGTAGCAGAAGGGACACTCGGAGGGATAACGTCGCTCAAGAATCGCAACAATGGACCCAGAGGACTTGGACCAAACGGACGACTCGGCCCGCTTCCCGAAGTACCAAGAATATCTGCCCAACTCTCTTCATCCAAACCGTACAAATCTACAGGGATAAATCGGAAGATTGAATGAACAAAATCAAAAGTGTCAGACTTGACAAAATCACCACTCACAATCCCTTCTGATCCCCCTTGCAGACAATCAAGTCATATTGAAAATTTGTATGATGTGATTTGTTTAACAAGACGTAAATACCCCTAGTTCGGCCAAAAAAAAAGGCAACCACCATTTCCTCGCATTATTTCATGACATCCTCATTATCATACGGCGAAATTCATGACAAATATCATCAAAAACAACATTTTTGCTATAACCTGAGGAGACAGTTGGTGTAAAAGTTCCACTCACACTGAATCAGTTCGTGAACACGTCGTTGAATGTAACCCGTGCCTCTCTTAATATCCTGAACAACTCGGACCTCGTCCTCACGATCTTCCTCCGGATCACTCCTCATTTTCAACAGCGACAAATCTTCGTCTTCGTTAAAATCCGGAAACTCTTCGCCACCATCCTATGTTTATACAGCAAAAACAAAAAATTGCCAATACAGGTTCCAACAATATTACAGGAAAAATAAGTCACCAACGTAGTTGCACCAGGATCATACGGCCTAGAGCCACTGACATCCACGCCAGGAGGCTTCACAAATGGAAAACCGCCAAAGATATCGTGCGATACGTAAAGATCCACATCTCGTTCATCACTACTGTTCAAATGAGCCCCGAAAACGATTCCACTCAGTAAAGCCGCGTATATAACAGAACTAAGGAACACTTTTAAACACATCTACAAATGCAGAAGCATCATCAATGCACGTACCATAGAGCATAAAAGAACAATCCACGGAGAATGAACCAGTAAAAACAGCAGTTTATTATAAAAATGTCAAAAAATCACATTACAATAAATATAACCATCACATGATATCAATTTGGTCGCATGTTGTTGACGTTGATGGGGGCAGCAGGAGCATTCACGTCACCGTTGAAACCCTCACTGAAATGAAAGACCGGAATAAACAATATCCAACAGTGGTGAATCAGGACACATATATGACAGTTTGAAAATGTCTAAGGATAAGTCAAAATGATTTAAACTCACCCTCTAATCTTCCCTGGGATCAAAAACTGAGATAATGGCAGCGGGACATTAGATGAATAAGCTTGCACAACTCCACTGACATTCCCAGCGGTATTTTCAACCACACGAGCATTGGTCGAGGCAGCAGCTGAAGCACCGAACAAATTTCCTTGTACACCAGCAGCTTGACGCGCTTTCATTTCTTCAACGTATTCGTTAGGAATTTGATCTCCCCGCAAAATGGTGGACAGGAGATTCAGCTCTCCCAGATTCAAACCAGCTTGCCCAGGACGGATGCCAAACAGAGTTGACAGAAAAGATAAGACACTGCCCAGAGACGAGTCACCAAGTGGCAAGGAGTCAGATGATGACGTATCAACGTTCAAGATCGAGTTAATGTTGTTCCCAGAAATCAGATTCAGCAACTGATCAGCTATGCACAAAACGACAGAACATACGAGTTATATTTACGTTAAGCAAAAAAAAATTCAGACTCATGACTCACCACTCAAACCGTTCAAGTTCCCCTGTCTGGAATCCACAGAGGATTTGCCAACGAGAGATCCCAAACCAGAACCTATGTTAGACAAACCTCCCAAAGATTTTAAAAGAGATGCAGCACCCGCTCCACGGAAAACCAGCCCTAAATTGGATGGCTTCAGGAGACCAGCCAAAGGATTAGGCCCTGTGCTGGCACCATTGATCAACGTTGAAACATCCTCTGGGCTCAAGGAGGCCAGATCAGCATTGGAATCCATTCGAAATCCAAGAGCGTCCCCTTGACGCATTACAGAGTTCTGAGGAGTGTTAGAATCTGAAAACAGATGTCACTTCACTTGAAAAATGTAAAAAAAGAGAACTTCATCAAATATGACTCACCTCTCAAGCCTCCGGTGAGTAGACTGAGAAGTAGGCCAGCACCATTGACACCCGGCTTTGTACCAATCGAATCAAGATTTGACAGCACAGCACCGGCAGGAGCCAAATGGTTGAGACCAACTGCTGCATTAGCAGTGTTGACATTTGATAGCAGATAGTTCAACAAGCCTGCTGTTGTGCCTAATGGTGCAGACGAACCCAGGTTACCCAACGGATTAAGGCTTCCGATCAGATTCCCCCCATTCGTGAGTGCAGGCAAAATTGAAGAATTCAGAAGGCTGTTCAAAGATCCAGAAGAAGGCTTCTGTTGCGCATTCGATTCTCCAACCGCGGGTGACTGCAGGTACAATCAAAAATAAATGAGCATCAAAATGCACTCAGGAAATCAGCCTTTATGAGAAAAATTTAAAAAGTACAAAAAAATGCTTCATTAACGTAAAAAGCAAAGTCGGACAATTATCACTCATCCACCCACCCAAAATGCAAGAGGGGCCACCGGTGTACCCCCTTCCGCCCAAGTTACGAGCTACCGTATTCTTAAACGCTTGTGCGCAAATGGTGACACAGCTTAACTTACCGATAGGATATCCGGCTGTGAAATGAAGGGTGCTTGGCTGTTGATCTGACTGAACAAATCATTCAAGTTGAACTCATTTTTGCGCGGATTATCAGGCGTACTGGATACATGTCCCTCTGGTGGACCGGCGTATGTTTCTCCTCGGACTTGAGATTGTGACAAATCAGCGTAGAAATTGGGGTATGACGCGGGTGGAACCTGCCCTTCCGCGAACACAAAAACTGCCAGAGACAACACAAAAACGCGGGACACCATTTCTTCTTCTTTGTAATTGTATACCTGTCAGGTGGGAAGAACGTGTTTAAAAACAAGCGAATTCCAAGAAAATTTTGAACAACGTGCAGGAAATGTATCAAGATCAACGACCAACACCCGTTGCCATCGGCGCATTCAACATTTTGTTCCCCTTGTCATCAGCGAGTGTGACGTCCATTCCGAAATTGTGAGCCAAGGACATGAAGAACCTCGTCAACGAATCAAACCCACTCTCCTCACCACCGAAGAAGGACTTCAGTACAGCATCCAATATGTCTCTGGGTCCAATTGGTCTCACGGGGGGCTGACTCAGGTCATCTTTCTCTGCTTCAATTCCTTCCTGAAAGTTTTTTGAACGTAAATTTTGGATGAAAAAACGTTCTCAGCATGAGATACTGCTGGGGCAAGTTCCAGAGTTTAGCGTCACATACAATACTGATAATATTGCAAAAAAATCCAAATAAAATCTCATTTATTTATCTTCGGAGTTTTATAGTCCTGTATTTCAGAAATTCGCAATAAGAAATGTGCTGCTTTCCTGGATTGATATCGATTAAAGAATGAAACCTGTGTTATGGTTTTAAATTGTTGAATGATTCGTTAAAAATCCGAACAGCAAATGAAATCCAACTTACATAAGAAGTGAAATTCTACAATTCCGATTTAAAAAATTTATATTCTACGTATAGGAAAGAGAATACTCTAATATATCGAGCGAGGAAACTTCCTAAGATATTGCAGTGATCAAATGGTTTAACACTTGAAAAAGAACTATTACAGTATATTAGCATTGACACGAGAATTGATTCAATTGAATCCCGCAGCAAACAACATCTAACGTCCCGTTTAACAATCAGTGTAAATTCTTTAGCGCTTCCCAGATACGTTGCCTGATAAGTTGGAGGAGGAACTGGCCCTAAAATAAAATTGTTCATGACACGAGACACGAGTCTACGGAATAACGTACCTCAAAAGCCTCGTCAATTTCACTATTCACATCGATCTGCCTCGAAGTTCGCGCTCCGTCATCGTCGATGTAAAAGGACTCGACGTCTTCCTCATTATTATCCCAAGTAGGATAAAACTCATCCTTGCTAACATTGAGCTTGGACTTGACGTTTTCTACTTTGACTACGGGCGACGGCGGTAGAGCAATCGTCAGACATACTTCCAACAAAGTCGCAAGCAGAATCAAATAAGCTGCTTTAACACAAGTCAAATAGAGCTTCAACATCAGGATCACCTCCGAGAGTGACTGACCTTAGGGAAAGAGCAACCGCAAATGAACTCAAATGCAGAAGACATTCGTGGGTTACTTGGAAATTTAGGTGGATGGAACAAATGGTATCTGAACCCCTGATTGTTTCCACCTCGAATGGACATTCGTTGGCCTTCCTTCTTCTTGGAGAAAGTTTACTATTGTCTCAACGGTAACCGGGATTTACACGTTCGTCCTTGAAACCCTTCAAGCTGATCATTCCAAGAAACCTTCGCAACTAAGCAGTACAACAGAAAATCTCTAAATTGCGGATTCTGATTCAGAAACGCTGAATTTTGTGGAAATCCCCACGGGTGCAGGAGAAAACATCCCGCGGCCCAAAAATCAGATGAGGTATAAAAATCTTGCGGGGTCCGAAAATTATTGTACTCATACGAAATTGTGGAAATGTGTCTTGGTTTAAGTGAAAATGTCTCTGGGATGGAATATAGTATGATCAGATGTCAAGACAAGGTGGAGACAAGAAAATGTGCGCATTTGAACTTTCATGGACTTCCGTTGCTGGAAATCTTGTCCAGTTATAAAAGCTGGTGGAATTTCAGAAATGCGTTTTTATGCTATTTATCATGTATGGAACGTTGAATACAGTATTTAGATTGACTTTGCAGATCAAACTGCATGTAGCCTTTTGAAATAATTTATAGAAATTGTGTACACAACATTACCTATTTTAGTTATCAAAGGGGATGATCCCCAAAAATTCATGTTTCGGGATTTATGTTCCGGTTGGAATTTTCGGGCCACCGGATTTTCTTCTGCACCCGTAAGAAAATTCACTACATTTTCTTATCGTAAAAAGAAATCATGTTTCACCATTACGACGAAGTGAGGAAAACAACCATTGATCTCCACTATTCCAAGCAACGTAATGCCTCAACGCCAACAGTGGAACAGGGACTGCAAAATTTGACGTAAACCTTCTTTAAGGTAACGTGGGTTTATTATTTCGGCTGTGACCTCGCATGATGCATGCAGGTAGATAGTGATGGTGTCGACATTCCCCGACGGCTCAGGCCATCGTAAGGTTATCAAGGTTCAACTGTATCCAGCAAACCATTGCACTGCATGATCATTTAACCCAAGACTGACCTCACTCGATTTGCTAGAATTGTTTTCTCTAAGGATCAAGCCCTTCTGGTGTGGTTCTACTCCTGCTGGTTGATATTCTGTATACCCCTCCTCAACTCATTGAACCTCTGCAAGTCCAATTTTCTGAGGCCTTCTGGGTACTATTTTCTTGACTCAGGAAAATAAAGTCATAAAAATAAACAAGGATGTGTTTCAAAAAGAAGTGAGACTCAGTGCTTGCAAATGAACTCCTGCCACACCAACTTCAACAGTATCCTTTCAACTTGTATGTGAGAAGCAGTTTAAGGCCCAGAATATCACCATTTACAATATCCTGCAATTCCTCTTTTCCCCCCACCAGAAATATGCTTGTTTCCTCAACTTTAAATCCCTAGAAGTCAAAATTGTTTGCAGATCCCTAGAAATTTGACTTGTTAAGGTTTGACTGCATCTGCAACAGCAGTTACAGCACTCACCATAATCCAAGTCAAACACAGACACAGTTATGTGATGTATCAATGAATTCTGTAGAAACCACAATAAGTTACTGAACTTCATCTTACAGTATTAGATAAATCTGCAATATTTTCAAAGACGTTGATGTGCAGGTGGGTGATTTGCCTCACAAATGATTTAGAAATATTAATTTTTCATGCATACTTGAGCTGGAATCAGTCACCATACACCATTCAAGCAGTGAGAAAACATCAAGGAAGTTAACAGTAAGTCTGAAATTTTTCCCATATCTTAAACAAGAAGAATCTAAAATTGCACAATTCTTGGACTTAGTTTCTTTGGTATAGGTATACTTCAGGGACCAAGCACACCCCTTTAGAGCTGTGGGATGGTGGCAAGATTTAAAATTGAGGGTTTGGATTTGCTTCTGATGCATTCAGCGCAAGAGTAGAAGTTTGGTAACTGTGGGGGTAGCCTGCCCCAATTGCTGAAGAAAGTGGTGGTCAACACTCCCTGAAGACTTGAGCCATTAAGCGGTCGTTTTTGCAGGCGTCATTTAGTGGGAACTCAATTACTGTACTTAACATCATGAGGAGCACTGAATCATGAGACACTTTGAAGATGACGCAACGCAAAACTTCTTATTTCAGCCAATCAAAGTGACATGATTCAAAAAAAAAAAGAGATGAAGCCAATAAATCGAAATTCAAGATAAAGAAAACACAAAGAAACGTTCATTTCTTCCGTCCTCCTCTTTCCTTCAGCTGCAGAACAACCACCGAACTCGGTCCAATGTTGTAAAACGCCAACGTGTTCGAGTCTTTGAAGAACAAACCCTGGAAAAAGCAACAAATTTTGGCAACTTCACGATGAGATGCAAAAAAGTAACTTACATCTTGATGAAGTTTCTGTTTACCAGGCGGCATCCCGGTTTCGTCATGAACTTTTGCTTTGATGACTGCAACGGTGTCAGTTAATGGCAGCGTCATTGGGACCATTCTGCCATCCAGACGCCATTCGGTTTTGTCAGGCATGTTGGGCAAATGAACCACGAATCTGACCGGCCCCTGTTGGTGAAAAGAATTAGTTTTTTCAAACATTAGCCTCTGCAAAACGTCCCAAAAGGCAGGAATTTATTCATTTGCAGTTGAGTCTCCTCAAGTCAAGTACAATACCACCTCCCTATGACGAATTTTTTCGAGTGCCTGTCTGAATTACCTTATAAAAATATAAAAAAATGCATTAAAATCTTCCACAATTCAAAGGGTTTCCCTCTGAAACCACCTTACCTTGAATTTTCTGGAGGCCTTTTGGCTAATATTTCATCAACACAGGAATAAGAAAAGCAAATCAATGTAACTTGAAGTGTTGAGAAAGAAAGTTGAAGACTACAGGGCAAATGAACCCTTGCTTCCAAGTTCAGCATCTTGTCACAGCATTTAAAGACCCAGAACATCATTAATTACAATTTACTGTAATTATTCTGTCTTTTCCTCAACAAAAAAATGCTTTTCCCACCCGACTCGAATGTTTTGCTGGCCCCGTCATGCTTCACTTGGAGGTTATTTATGCTACAGTACATTAAGTCAGACGAAAATGCGAACGAGGGGCAATTTTCGAGTTGGAAATTTACTGGTCAATGGGAATTATTCTTTAGAATATCATGAAGGGATCAGCTGATGAGGAAAATCCCAACGAAATTATTTCGCGAAATGAATCCTAATTCGGAAACAGTTGAATTTTATTCACTTCCTGACTCAAGATGTCTATAAACGTTATCGATGTTGCAATGCAACGGCTATCGTGATTCAATCTTCACAGCAATACCTTCCTTGGTTACGTTACACGGAAAACCAGGAGATGGAGAAAAACGCAATCATAAAACATGGAAAGCTACTTAAAAGACCATCGTTTCTCAGGAAATGAGGACAGGGATGCTTTAAAAAATTCTGAAGGGAAAGGGTGTCACACAAAGGCTTCTTTGTTCGGCACTTGAGACAGGAACAAGGAGGGAGAATATTCTACGCATTTCTTTGACCTTTCCTTGAAGTTTCTCTGCACCATTTGTAAGACTTTTTCCTTCATTACAGCACGCACTGGTACTTATAAGTTTCAGCACAAAAAATGCTTCTAATCTTGCTCTCTAATGCACCCAGAAGTTTGCTGTAATCATTTAAATCATAAATCAAATACTGTACCAGAAAACGATGCATGCATTCGTTCCCCTTCAACAATGGGCCACACGAGGGTTTTTCATCACTTGCCAGTAATTATCAACAAGCCAGAGAAACCCAAAAATATTTTCTTCGGTCCAAAACTCACCCTAAACCTGGCCATAAACTGCGCTTCAGGAATCAGCGTCTCCTCAGTCTTCATCCTCTTATTCGGAGGCTCATCATAGTCTTGCTGCATCTGTTGTTGTTGCATGGGAGCTTGTGGCATCTGTGGTGCCCTCACACCACCCAGCATCATGCCAACGGGCTGCGGAACCAACACCGGCGGCGGGATGACCATAGTCGGCGTTGGCAACATGACCATCGTCGGAGGAAGACCCATCATCACCGGTGGCGGCTGAGGAGGCGGCGGCTGCGGACGAGGAATCGTCTGATGTTGCATTGAAACCTGCGTCTGTGGAAAGAAAAACTCACATTTCAATATTCACTCGCGCATTCATTTTCAATTTTTTTTTTGGTTTTGGCCGTAAAAAAAAAAAATCTTGCAGAGTTACACAGTTTCATGTTTGCGACATACATTCCAGGAGACGTCATTTTACCATGTGTGCGGAATTATAATTGTATTCGTGAACCTTTTCAAGAAATGGTCACCCAGCGAAAAAAATACGCACTTGAAAAGCACCGAACAACTTGAATCAAGAAAAACATTTAGATCACATAATTTTTCAATTTGTGAGAAACGAAAGAAAATTTAAAGAATAATTAGCAATGACGGGGATTTTACGCGTAAATCTAGAAAAGAGCATAATTGAAAGACGTGGTATTTACGAAATTAGCCTGAAACAAATTTCGCGACCGATGTGATAATTTTCACATTCCTCGTGAACAGAATGTACTGCACATTTCATTACTTCCTCCGATAGAACAGCAATGGTACTAAATCCTTACAACCACGTTCATGAAAAACAAAAGTTTCTAAGATGGGAAAACATGACTCACTCAACGAAATTATTTCACACGACGAAATTTTTTGGCTCAAAAAATGCGCGAATTTCAACAAGTTGTGTACTGCACTTAGAATGAGATTTTCAGAAAAAAAAAAACAGAAAAACGCAGTTTTTCATCCGTTCATTCACTTCATTGTCTTCTCTTCACAATTTGAGAAATTTTTGCGTGAGTCATTGACGTATTTAGTGAAGTAAGAAATGCACCCCATTTTCAGTGACTCTAAAAATGCAATATTTCAATAATAAAAATACCCAATCTTGGATTTACACATAAATCCAAGGAGTTTGCAATTAGCACCACAAAAATAAGTTTTTCTGTAAAAATTGGTCCGAGATTTCCCATTAGGATAACTAATGCACACCTAAACCTCTACAACGTCTTATAAAAATTTAGAGCTGCCCAGATGCCTCCCCTTTTTTTCCCTCTCAATTCTGAGATAAAATGTGCAAGTGGTACTTGAGTAAATACAGCACCTCACTTTCATGATGAATAATTTAAAAATCACGATTTTCTGCTAAAAAACTGTATAACCAAAATATAACTCACAACTTTCGGTCCAATTTTCTCCTTTTCAGTGTCCACAACGAGGCCCTTGGCCTTGTGGATCTCCTGCAACTGTTCTTCAAAGGTGATGTTGGCTCTAGCAGCTCGAGTCGCAGACTCCATACTAGCCGAATGCCCATCCCAAATGACCCTATCGTCCCTGCGCTGCTCCGATTCTTCGCCAATCTTCTTACCAATCTGCGTCTCCTCATCACCCACACCAAAGATATCCGTTCGACGCTCAGCGAACTTCTTCAACGTACTCTCAATCGCGATTCCGGGAGCATAAACGTGCTCCTCCTGAGCCTTTTCTTGTTGCATTCGGTCTCGTTCCTCGACCCAACGCGGGTCAAGCAATCCGATCCTCATGTGCTCAGCCACGGAACTCGCCGGGATTCGTTCTCCAGTCAACGGGGAAATCAAAAATTGGTCGCCACTCGGGGCGGCAGTGGGTTTCTTGGACGCAGCTTTCGGGTCATAGTCCTTCTTGATCAGCACTTGATCGGGCGTCGGGGGCAAAGGCGGCGGCGCTGGGCGTTCTTTCGGCGGTGGTGGTGGCGGACGCTTGTCTTGCTTCGAAGCCTTATTCGCAGCCTGTTTCTTAGACTTTTTGGACGGTTCGTCTTCCTCGTCAGACTCGATTTGCATTTCGACGTCGTTGTCTTCGTCATCTTCGAAGGCGCCTTCGGCTTCGATGCGTTCGTGGAGCAACGACCGCGAACCGACTTCTTCGGGGTTAGTCGGCGGCGGGAAACTGCCTTGTTCCCATGGTTGATAATCCACGGTCTCGACAACGACGAAATCGTGCCAGTCGATCTGAGCATAAGCAACTGTGGAATACATTAAATGAGATCACAGGAAATTCGCACATCCAGCAAATAGCCATTATACACAAATTACTGAAATTATTATTGCTTCGACACAAAAAAGTGGAGAACTAGGCAAATTTGAGGTCCACTCAATTCGAAAGCTAATTCAGAAACACTGAGCAAACCTCTTTCGCGTTCCTCCTCTTCTTCAATCCGGCGTCGCTGACGTTCTTCGTACTTGATCCATTCAGCACGATAAGCAGAATCCTTCAGTACTTGTTTGGATTCCACGCCATCGCGATTCAAACGTTCTTTGAGGTCTTTAGGCGGGATTAAGACCTTCGTGTACTGTTCGAGTAATTTCGTGAAGTACTGGAACAGGGAGTGTTGCGGACGAAGAAAATCAAACTGGAAATTTCGCTGCTCTCGATTCATTAGACCGGTGAGGAAGGTTCTTCCATTGCGAGCCACGAACTGCGCAGTTAGTTTAACGAGATCCCTGCAGCAAGATTAACAAAGGTAACATCTCCAAGATACAATTGTGATGATTTAAATGGTTACGTACAAATCCATCGCAGAAATCGATGGGGGATCGCAAACGAATTCCCATTCCGCAGGTGGGTCTTTCGGCACAAAAGGAGCATCGACGTGGAGTTTCAGGAAATCCGACTGCAATTTTGAAACTGAAGGAGCAGGTTTCCCTTGTGCTGCCACTGGACCTGTTCCCGGAGGAGTAATAGCGGCTTCTTCTTGGGCTACAAACGAATGGATCAGCTATGAAAAAGCTTCGTAGATTCACAAAATATCACTCACGTTTCCCCTCTCGGGCTTCTTTGATCTTGTGCTGATAATATGCGTGGTACGGATCACCAACGTTGAGGAAGTTGAACTTCGGATTGCCGGCTTCGTGTGACCTGATACGGTTTTCAAATTCAACACCTATTCTGGCCACAAAACTCGCAGTTTTGTCGACAATGTCTGCATATCACAAAGCGGAGGGAATGAACCAAAATAAATCAATACAGCAAAGCCGATTCGGTAGGTTTGATTACAAACATACTTCGAACTTCAGGCGGCGGATAGATTATGCCTATGACGGTTTTCATAGGCGCGGACTGGGGTTCCTCCGGAATAATCGGATCGATTACTCCTCCGCTATCTATTTCTCCCGGCATGATTACAGCAGCTTAGCACACCAGCGTATTCACAAAATCACTAAGGAACTGAAAAGAAGTCACGCATATTCAACTGGGAGGCAAAATCTCAAGTCATAAACACAGAATTCCTCACAGCAATCATACGTCTCCGCGTGTCAACGGACGCTGATCCGGATGGGGCAACAATAGAATATCTGGCAAGAAAATGTATCCATTGGGACATGGCATTGCATTCTAAAATTCACTGCACCTGTACAGTACTGTACTTATACTGTACATGCGTCTTGCTGGGTGGACGCCCATTATCTCGCCGAAGAGCAACATTTCTGGAAACTGGAATGGCTGAATAAGAGCAAACAAAAACTCATTTTGCGCAAAGATCACTGCGTTGAACGTACTTTTCACCCTACAGAAGTTGGAGAAGGCTCCTGCATATTATCGAGCATGAGGGAAAATTTCCATGTATAGTATAGTACTTTTGTTCATTGATCCAGTGAAATTTTTTAGATGGAAGCATTTTACTTTGAAGAAATTGGAATAAATATTCTGATTACAGTAAGGCGTACTGCACATAACTGTTTTAGTTCAGCCATGTAGGTTACACACAGTACTGGGGGTTTTCAGCTCTGCTGAACACAGATACAGCTTGTAAATTTTGTAGTCTACTCCAAGCAGTGTAACTGGACCGCTCGAACAAATTTTAAAGCGGGATTGGCGTATACACAAGCAGTAAATACTCTAGTGAAAGGTCCCCCAATATTCGTATACGTTTGTATCCTGGATATTTAAAAACTAAGTTTGAATGTCCAGCCGATTGCATGTACAGTACTGTATATACTGTACAGAACTTTATATTGTTACTAGTTCATTTAATCGATTATTAATTTTCTGAACCCGGATATCCTACTGTCTTTCGTATCAAGATTTTCAGTCTTCTTTTTATTTTGCAATGACTATGTTTAAATTTGAATTATGTGTCAAATTTCTAATTTTATTTGTGACCTTCGCGAATGCCCTCAATAAATAACTCTCCATTGTGTCTTAAAATCCTTGAAAGTTATTGTTATTGTTCGACTGGTAGGACCAGCGCATGGTGTAGCCTCTTGATGTTTGCAAGCAGTTGACTTCCTGTTTCATTCACCTGAAAGTGCTAGCTCAGTTGGAGGGAAATGAATGAATTTCGGTGGTTCAGATGATTATTTCGAAACAGTTCGTGCTTGAATTGCAGTTTGATTTCATCTCATTTGCCTGGATGAAATGCGCTTTTTGAGGTCGGCTGTAGAATTGTGTCCAGAGTAGTTTCAGTTTTGTACAGATCGGATTCCTCTTTTTTGTTCAGTTAATTATCGGACGAGTGATCACCTTATTCCAGTTAGTCTCGAAGAAAATTAGGATTTCTCGATTGTACGAAGCATGGAAACTAAACTGATTTCTAGCTAAGTGAGTGGTGAGTTTTTTTTTCTTCAGAAGAACGTCACAGGTTCGTCCCTTTCGAGGGCATTGAAGGTTGAGGAGATTGATTCAGTTTCTGTCGATGGTCAGAGTAATCCCTCCATTCATGAAGTGTATGACATCAGCAGGGCATTCGTTATTGTGGTACGAAATTCGAGTGGTCCCGAGTTCATAGGATATGAGGTAGTTCCGTGCTTGACATAGCTCAAGAATTTCTCTTGTTCCAGGCCTCACGAAGTTCGACTCTAGTTCGAGTGATCAAGCTTTTTTCGCGACTCTCACAGTTCCCTCCATGGCGGCGAGGAACGCCAACTCTTCCGCTGGCTCGCGCCAGATTGATCTGGACAGTATATGGGATGATCTCCGCCGCGGTATCGATCAAATTTACAGCCAAGAGCACATGAATAGATCCCGTTACATTATGCTCTACACCCACGTCTATAACTATTGTACATCTGGAGCTGCCCGTCCGAATAATGCCGGGAAGAAGAAGACTTCCGCTGGAGGAAGTTCCGCGGGAGGTGGAGCTCAGTTTGTCGGACACGAGTTGTACAAACGGCTGAAGGAATATTTGCAGGAATACCTCGTCCGACTGCAGCTGGTGAGTTCCCCGATCCATCGTTCTGAATATATTATTTTAGATTATTCCTCAAAATCTGGTACGCGTCTTACAATCGATATCTTCTTCGATTTTCTGTCCAAAAGCGCAAGACTTTGGATCATGGTTTGTGTCGGATGTATTTCCGAAGATTGAGCTAATGACTGAAGCATGAATAAAACAAACAGAAATCTGTGATTCTTAGAAAATTGTAATGAAAGAGTGGTCGTGTAGTATTCATGTGCATATTATCGAGTCTTGCAGAAATTGGCGACGGCTTTCCGATTGATGAGTGCTTCGATTGATCATCAACTCATTCTTGTGTTTTTGCAATTTGCAGAAAGGGAAAGACAGGATGGACGAAGACGTCCTGCGTTTTTACACGGAAGAGTGGGAGAAGTTCCAGTTCAGCTCAAAGGTTCTCGACGGCGTCTGTTCTTATTTGAATCGTCACTGGGTGAAGCGGGAATGCGAAGAAGGCCGGAAACACATTTACGAAGTGTACCACCTCGCCTTGGTCACCTGGCGAGAACATTTGTTTCGCCCGATGAACCGAGCTGTAACAAGTGCCGTCCTCACGTTAATTGAACGCGAGCGAAATGGTGAAACGATCAATTCGCGACTCGTTTCCGGCGTCATTAATTGCTACGTCGAACTGGGTCTCAACGACGATGACTGTGGCGCCAAGGGTGTGAATCTCAGCGTGTATCGCGAGTCCTTCGAGGCCCAGTTTCTAGAGAACACGGAAACCTTTTATACCCGAGAAAGCAACGAATTCCTGCAGAGTCATCCGATCACTGAGTTCATGAAGAAGGCCGAGGCCAGGCTCAAGGAAGAAGAGGACCGCGTGCGGAAGTATTTCCACGAGACCACCTTGCCGAAGCTGCAACGGACTTTGCAGAAGGTCCTCATCAAGAACCACATGGAGATTTTTCACACCGAATTTCAAGTGGGTTACGAATATACTGTTTTTTTTTTTTTTCTCGAAGATAGGATTTTATTTGGTATTTGTTTTCTCTTTCTTGAAGAATTTGTTGGATTCAGAACGTGATGCGGATCTCGCCCGGATGTATACCCTTGTTCACCAAATGCCCGAAGGACTCGTGGAGCTCCGCACCCTACTTGAAACTCACATTACCAACCAGGTGAGCATTTATGCTAATTTGTATTTTTTTTGGCACGAACGCATTCATTATTCCAGGTAATTAGGAATTAGATGTGACCCTTTCGGTGCCAAATTTGATTTACATTTGAACATCTGCTCGAACTTGAAATGAACCATAAAAATTCGAGTTAGGGAAACGATCATTTTTTTACAAGAAAGTAAGAAGGAATACAGGAAATTGTTGATTGTTGATATTCTGGGCCGTTAATTTCTCTATAAATGAGTTGACGGGATGCGGAACTTAGAGGCAAGGCTGAATTTGTCCAATCAGTCTTTCACTTCCTTTCAAAACACATTAATTTACATTTTTTACTGCGTGTCCATTTCCTGCGTCAATAAAATAATCGACGGAAGGCCTCCAGAAAATTCGATTTTTGAAGGTTTGAGGAGGGAAGCCTTTGATTTGAGACGATTTTTGATGCAATGTTTCAGAGGGACGTGAAAAAATAGTGGGAGTTTCGAGTGTAGTTTATTGGATTGATTCAATATGCACTTGTGTGTATTTTTTCTTCAGGGACTCGCGGCGTTGTCGAAATGGAACGACGAGACTGGTTCCGGAAGTGAGAAGGAAGATGCGAACTCGTATGTGATTGCGATTCTGGAGGTGCACGGGAAATATGAGACCCTGGTGAAGGAGGCGTTCCGCAATGACACGGGTTTCGTGGCGGCCCTGGACAAGGCCTGTGGGAAATTCATCAACGTGAATGCCGTGACCAAGTCCTCGGGCCACGCTTCCAAGAGCCCCGAACTACTGGCCCGCTACTGCGACGGGCTGCTGAAGAAATCCAGCAAGAATCCGGAAGAGGAGAAGCTGGAGGATGCTTTGAATCAAGTGGTGAGTTTTTTATTTTTATTTTTTTTAACGTTATTTTTGAGCTTGTTCGAGGTTGATGTTATTTTTATTTTTGCGTTTGTGCAGATGGTGGTGTTCAAATACATCGACGACAAGGACATTTTCCAGAAGTTCTACTGGAAGATGCTGGCAAAGAGGCTGGTGAATCACCTGAGTTCGTCGGATGACGCGGAAGCGTCCATGATCTCCAAGTTGAAGGAAGCCTGCGGGTTTGAGTACACGTCCAAGCTGCAGCGGATGTTTCAGGACATCGGCCTGTCCAAGTCTCTCAACGAGCGATTTCAGGAGCACGTGCGCACCTCTGGCGAAGCCCTGGAAGTCGACTTCTCTATTCAAGTCCTGTCTAGCGGATCCTGGCCCTTTACCCAAGGCCCAGTTTTCAACCTTGTTCCTGAGGTAAATTTGCCGACTGTGCTACATTGTCGAGAGGGGTTTTTTTTAAAAACTTTTTGTCAACCTTTTCTTGAAAATTTAAAAGGAAAAAGGAGGGTGCGAGTCACTGATAGGATAACGAAAGAAAAGGAATTTATTTAATTCCATCTTATTTTAAAGAGGGAAGTCTTGACCAATTTCGATAGAGAAGTTTTGAAAATGGAAATGACGAAAAATCAAATGTTGATGCGACTACAGTTGACTTCAGAATTCAAATTTTGATATATTTTGATTTTCTGTCTCTAAAACTGGAGTGCACTTCCTACTCGTGGTAAATTTTTCATCAACTTTCAAAAAAATTCGGATGCCCGTGGTGCTCAAGTAAATACGGTATTTTCCTCAAGGAATTACATTATTATTATTAATATTTCAACGAAGAAACCAATTTTTTGGATCAGTTAAATTTGATCAACTGGAAAGAAGAACTTCATTGTGTAGAGGAAAAGGTCTGAGTATCTACTGGGATCAAAATGTGCCCTGCAGTTGCTTGAAAACGGTTATTTATTTTCATCTAATTCTGCTTCATTTTTTCTGCTGTAGTTTTTCGAAGTAATTTTCGAACCGCGATGTACGAAATCTGAGGCGTCCCCCCCGGCTTTATAAGCCTTAAAAATGTATAAATTTTTGAACTAAAAAAGGAGTTCTATACAGAATCATGAACGGGGAAGATTCTGTCTGTGAACGTTTTATAAATGGGTTTTCACCAAGAAAATCATCTTGCTGAGAAATAACGTGCCAGTCGGTTGCCGAATGGCTAATGCATGATTTTTCACTATTCTAAAATTCGAAAAAATTATTTGTTTCGTCTTTCAAATCGAGGACGTGTCTCAAGTACAACGTAGGCCGCATTTCGTGAGTCTCTGCGGTCTATGCCGAAATATTCAGGAATATGAAGTCAAGGTTATGGAAATTAGATTTTTATTCGGGTTGGTCCACTTCTGACTCCTCGTAACTTGAAATGTTCAAGTATTTCTGGAGGATCATTGACAAGTGTTCCTTTAAGGGCTTTCAGGGATTCAGAAGGGGTTATTTATACGGACGCGGTTGTGTCATTGACCCAGCGATTCCGTGGACCCGAAGACATTTGTTTACTCTCGAGAAGGGTACCAAAGAAGATGGAATCTATTAGCGGGGCACCTGCGAAAGGGTTTCAGCATGGAAACCGGATCCCGGATTGTACTGAACTGCGGAAACGATCACATTTATTTCCGCTTTTGTAATGTGATGTAACTATTGTTGAAAAAGGCTCACTTCGCGTATGAGATGATCGTTTTTCTGGTAAATGTGGGATTAATTCTGGGAATTTTGTACCGCTTTTATGATTGGTCGAGCTTAATTAGAGCGGTGGTCTGGAAATAATGAAATATTGCGCTGTAGAAAATTAATTCCTTATCCATTTAATATGAGAAAGTAGCATAGCATTCACATAATATGTGATGTATTCCTCGCGTGCATTTGAACCTCGATAACTTGGGACTTCCCCAACTTGAATACCTCCCTACACAGTATAGAATTTCTTCAAGTCCCTGTCTGAATTTTCTTATAAACAAAGCGCTAATTTCCTCGCTAACTCAAAGGCTTTCCTACTGAAACCATCATAATTCGAATTTTAGGGAGGCCTTTTTGGCGATTAATTTTTTTGACACAGGAAAGAGAAAAGCAATTGAAGTGTAGCTTGATGTGTTTTGATTGAGAAGCACTTCAAGGCCCAGAAGATCACCAATAACAGTTTTCTGTGATTCTTCTTGCCTTTCCTCAAAAAAATTCTCGTTTTCCTAACTCGAATTTTGTTTTTGCTGGTTGCTTGAAGTTTGATTTTGAGAGGTTTGACTGTAAATCGGCGAGTCCCCATCAAAACCGCATAATTCCTGTGCCTTTTTCTCCAATTTGAATTTTTTTGCTGGTCCCAAATTGATCTTTGATTGAAAGAGGTTTGTCTGATTATGCTACATCTAGATCAGAAAAAAAATCCGACGGGAGGCAGTTTTCGAGATGAAAATTTACTGATCGGTTGTAGTAGTTTTTTAAAATTCTTGGTATATGGTATTTTAGGAAAAATAATTACAGTGTCATGTTATTCAGAAAATATTCAAACAGTGTAATGAAAATCCAAGACTTGAAAATGTGTCTTAAAATTCCAAGACTGACGAAACCGGCTGGAATAATAGCAATTGTGCTACGCAAAAAAAAAAAAAAGAAACCTTGATTCACGAGTATTGTTTTTCGCTTCGCCTTTTCTGCAGTTGGACAAGTGCAGAACCCGGTTCTCCAACTTCTATTCGACGGTGCACAGCGGTCGGAAGTTGTCGTGGATGTACCACAATTCCAAGGGGGACCTGCTGGCCACCTGCTTCAAGAACCGCCACGTGTTCCAGGCCTCTACTTTCCAGCTGAGCGTGTTGATGTTGTACAATGCGAGCGACTCGTACACGTACAAGCAGTTGTGCGAGATGACTCTCATTGACCCGCCGATGCTGGCCCAGGTCCTTTGGCTGCTTACCAAGACGAGTCTGTTGACGGCCAAGACGGCCGACGGCTCAGACGCCGCCATGGACCTGGAGGTGCAGGGTGATGACGGCACTCGAGACCGCAGCAGCGCCGCCGCCGCCGCCTCCATGCCCGACGACGTCACCTTTTCGTTGTATTTTGAGTACAAAAAGTGCGTTGGTTTATTTCTCATCTTCCTTTATTTTTTTTTCAGTATACTTGGAAAGATGTTGTTATTTAAAACATTGTTCCCCAACCTGTGGTCCGCGGACTGGCGCCGGTCCGCAGAAGGTTTTTTTTGCCGGTTGGCAGGAATTTTTCAGCATAATGAATTTATCAAAAGTAGCAATGAAGTCTGTTGCATGCATGTATCTAAAAATGTTGGAAAGACTAGGGCAGTTGAAATTACAGTCAACCCCCGTCTAACAGACTTGATTTGTGCAAGGGATGAGTCTGTTAGACAAAAAGTCCTTTACACGAATTCAATTACATAAAAAATTCAAATTTCAATTTTCAACACCAATTTTAAACCAAAAGGAGTCTGTTTGGCGGATTTTGTCTGTTGTAAATTTCAATTTTCAACACCAATTTTAAACCAAAAGGAGTGTGTTTGGCGGATTTTGTCTGTTGGGTGGGAGTAAAAACTGCTTGCAGAGCTGGTCTGTTTGGCAAAAATCCCTTACACGGGAGGTCTGTTAGGCAGGGGCCACTGTATCTGATGAATATCAAAGAGGTTTTTTCTCCTAATAACACTTCAGATGAATTTCCACAAGCTGAAATAAATTATTTTGATTTTTTGTTCTGAGAAACCTTTCCTCAAGCCCACTTTTCTTTTTTTTGATACAATTCAGCTATAACTGCTTCATTGGGGCTTAACTTTGTTTTTTGCTAAAAAGAAGACACTTTGATGAATGCCATTGAGGCATAGAGTCTTTCAAGCAAAACTTTTTCAGTCTGGAAAAAATGTATGAAACATGGCTGGTCTTTAAACATTTTTTGGGAATTTGCCAGTCTACGAAAATTTTCTGGTCCACAAGCCCTGAAAGGTTGGGGAACATTGAATTAAAATATACATCTGACCCACTTCAGCATGAATGGAAAGGTATCCAAGCTAAAGTAATGCTTGGGAACACCATATTTTGACTGCAAAATACTATGCATAGTTGTTTTCCTTCTCATTCTTTATTATTGTACTGTATTTCATTTATTTGTGAAATGGCTGCTTTTTGAAGTTGACTCGCTTTTTTTTTGTACAGGTGGTCGTGTCTACGATGATTTTCTCTTGATACTGAATTTTTGTTTGGTCTCATCAGGTCCTCTTTCCATTTTATGTGGGTTCTCCATGATGGAATTCTCCCTCAAATGAATGTCATTTGTGAATTTTTGCGTGCATTTAATGTCGGTTCGATTTGATGTCTCATACGCTTTTTGTTGTTTTTGTTTTTGATGTCGATTGCAGTAAAAAAGTGCGAGTAAACATAAATGCGCCGCTGAAGATGGACGTGAAGCAGGAGACGGAGGCGACGCACAAGCATGTGGAAGAAGACCGCAAGCTTTTGATCCAGGCAGCTGTGGTGCGGATCATGAAGATGCGGAAAACCATCAACCATCAGCAATTGGTTGCGGAAGTTATCCAGCAGCTCACATCCCGGTTCAAGCCCCGTGTTTCTCATATCAAGGTTTGTATGGCTGAATTTTCCTTTTTTTTTTTTTTCCTCAAAAGCTTTCTGTAGACTTGACCTCATTTTCAGGAACCTTTTTTTTGATGGAGTTTTACGGTATCTATTTTAAAGGAATATTGTACTCGAGTGAATGAAGTGGTAAATTCGAGACGAAGATTTTGAAATGCCAATTGGCAAAAGTATCGAAAATAAGAAGGATTTTGTAAGCTTTTATGTTGATACGTTCTACATTTAAATCAAGGTTTGTCTCGGGGGTGTTTTTCATTTTGCCCGAAAAACTTTCTTTACTCTTGACCTTATTTACAGGAACCGTGTTCGAAGGAGTTATAGATTCAGATATTCTGACTGTTGTGCTTGAAGGAGGAAATTTGTCGCGAACTTGATGAACATTTTGATTTTGATGCACAGTACATGTTATTGATTGTGATTGGCTGAATTTGGAGTACAATTTATATTGTGGTTTCGTATACAGTATTAGAACTTTATAAGAAGTGATCTGAAACTCGGCCCTTTGTGGAATTTTCAGTTTCTGGAATTTTTTGAAATGTGACCTTTGTTTTGATCCTCCTTGGTTTGTTTGTTTGCTTTTTTTTCGGTAGATAATTTGTTATGATTGTTCTGTATTACAATAGTTGAATTGCACGTAGACGTTCGGACCCCACTTTTTTCAAGATGCATTGCTAACTTGGGTCTTGAATTTCATCTGACTTGATGAAACTATTTTTGACGAATTTCTTCGATTTTCGCAGCATACGTTGTAACTTATTTTGTTCCTGTTGTTGAATTGCAGAAATCCATCGATGTGCTGATTGAGAAGGACTATTTGGAGAGGGACCGAAATCAGAAAGATATGTACAATTATTTGGCCTAATGACAAGTGTTTGCGTTTGATAACTTTGTTTCCGAGCCACACCGACAACCACTCACGAGCAGGCGAGAGCCCGTATTTTGTCCACACCCCCCTCCCTCGAAAGCGTTTTTGCGATTGCAAATTTTTTTTTTTTTGCTGTCGAAGTTTTTTGTTTCCTTCGCGTCGTTCGTTTTGTGTCATTTATTTTGTGCTATGACGTGCGTGTCTTCCATAGGGACCGGGAGGAAGAAAAGATTCGGGGTTCTGCGTTTTTTTTTTTTGGTTACCGTTTCGTCGAGCGGTTTTTCTCCTCTCCATCTCTCAATTCTCCGGTTTTGTAAATATCAAGTGCCGTCGGTTTTTTGTTGTTGTGTGATTTGTCGGACAGTTCAGGTTTTTGAATGGACCGAATTCCGGGAACTGGAGTCGATGATTGGGGAGTTCCGCATTTGACCGAAGTGTTGTGGCAGGTGTAATATTGGGTTTTTTGTGGCCATGAGTTCCCGCGGAAATTTGAACTGTCCTGCAAAGAGCAGAAGGGACGTGAACCCCCTCTAGAAAGCCGTCTTCATTCATTCATTCATGTCCCCTGTGAGACTTCTCTCTTGCCCCATTTTTTTTATTTTGAAAATTTAATCGCGGAAGGCGGAACAGCAGTTTTTATTTCGTCGATGATGATGATGATTTTGTTTTTGAGCAATTGACGGCATGTTGCTGATCAATGTGGAACTGTGAAAACAGGCTGGCAGGTTGGGCACGGGTCTCTCACTGGCTGGCCACTTGCTGGGAGGGGGATTTGGTGGGATGCTGGATTTTTTTTGGTGACCTGAGAAGGAAACTCGATTGAATGCAAGTGGGAGTGATTTTGTCAAGGAATAAAGAAATGTCCAATTTTTGACAATGCTCTTTCCTTTTCTCTTGGTGATCATTGGAAAGTATAGTATGGTCAAATACTCAAATTTCCACAGACCAGTAATGTAAGAAAAACATTTGATTTGGGGAGGCTTGGGAGTGAAGGCAGAAAATTAATTTTTCCCTTACGCAATCATGTAGTGTAGGGTAAGATGAGTGAAATGAACTCCCTTTATCAACCATGATGAGTCATAATATTTTTGTCGCCTACATTTGAATGCTACATCCTAAAATGAGAATGCTTGTTTGAAGAGCACTTGAAAGTACTCCTGTCCTCAATGTGAAACCTTGAACCGTATAAACAATTCTTGGAAATTTCCTGAATGAGAAGAATGTGCTTCTTTGAGTGAAAAAATGGTCTTTGATAAAATGAATAATTCAAAATAAATGATGCAGAGCAAACATCAAGCAGTACTGGATTTACAGGTACTGTATTCATTTTTTATAGATACATCATAAATTCATTTTTTTTACTTATTTCAGCAGGAAGAAGACTTTTGAATGAACCCTTACATATCCTTGTACAGTACTGTCAAAGCCTACACAACAGACTGGTCTGTTGTGCACAATCAAATGGATTTTTTTTTACTTTTCAGCATCAATTTTAAACCAACAGGAGTCTGTTATGTGGATTTAGTCCATTGTGCAGGGGGAAAACCACCTCCAGAGGTGGTCTGTTCTGCAAAAATCCATTGTGCAGGAGGTCTGTTGTGTAGGGATCAATTGTATTGTAGTTGTTGCAGAGTTGATGTTAACACTGATTATATGATAGTTCTCAGAATTTTCTGGGTATATCAGTTGCAAACAAATTTATGAAAGGTTTTTGGGAGACATAAATGAACTTTGGTAATGATTTACTGCTCCTTGAACAGATCAGTAAAATTTGCTATATTTCTAGACTTATTTTTGGTTTGAAAGACTTATATTGGGGGTAAGTCACACTTTGTGTGATGTCATAAAGGTACGTCTAATCTTCAAGTGGTTTTTGTATGTTTCCACTTACTAAAACTTTGGTCTTTAACCGAGGTCTTTTCCTTTTTTTTCAGGAAAATTTCTCAGATAAGATACCCAGAAATGCGTCTTTGCCATTCATATTATGGTCAGAAATAAGTTTGAGATAATGTTCCATCTGCTGCTTATCTCAACTTCAAGATATGCTGGATACCTGCATGACTAAGCTTTTTTTTGAAGATCAGCTATCCCCAATGTCCTCATTTATATTTTTAGTCCTCTCTTCCTTTTCCTCAGCAGGTCAGAAAACTTTTGCCTGAGGCACCCAAAAGAAGGGGGCTCATGAATTGTTTGAAGCCCATGATGTTCATCAGAGGGCAAAGCAAGAGAAAGTGGGACTTGGTGTGCTTATGTTATTTCATCATCAGTGTTCCTTGTTCCACGTTTCGAATCACAGGTGATCCTTGGCAGCGTGAAACTTTCAGACTGTGTATTATATATTTTGAAATTAAGTGAAATCATGGGACTTTGGTTTGAAGACCCTGGTGAAAAATCCAGTGAATTTTACTACAAGGACTTGAAAGATCTGGGCCCTGACACTTCTGTGGTCAAAGTGTTTGTTCCTGACTCAGTCAACATTTCTTCCATCCATGCCTACAGAGTTGCCAAGGAGTGTTACAAAGTAAATACATGTTTCACTATTTTGTGCAATGAATCTCTGATTTAAAAAGACATTTTTACACAAAGAAAGATTCACTTGATGAAACATTTTTGGAAGGGAGGAAAAGTCATAATTTGGCAAAACTAAATCCGCCAACAAAAATTAAGAAAAATTTGAGTTTTAAATCATGCATTTTTTTATATCAAGGAAACAATTTTTAAAAGGGAAGGGAGGTTGAGAAAAAGCCCAAAAATTGTGAATTTCAATAAGCTATTGAAATGGCTAATTTAATGAGTAAAATATCCAGTGTTACAGTATTTACATTTTATACAGTACTTGAAATCCAACTTATGATTGGTTGCTCAAATACCCAAGTTTTTCTGGTTTGAGCATATTGAATATTTTTCAAATATAACTTGAAAAAATTCATGTTTCTTGTCACCTGGAATTTATTAACTTTGTTAGTCAGAGGCCCATTTAATTTTACAATTTTGCAAAATTACAAAATGTTTCTTATTGCTTTCCAGTGTGCTTGGTCTTACATTGCATCATCTGAAGTACAAAACCATCCAGAGGATCCAACACTGGTATGGGAAGAAAACAGCAAGTTCACCTGGAAATATTCATTGAGATCACATTATCTTGGTGAGGTTGTTTCAAGACATGACCCCAGCAGTGAACTGTGTCAGGTCCCCTGGACCTCTTTGGGACAATATGGGGTCT